GTGTTGGGTTTGGTTTTCTGTTTGTTTGGGATTTTTTTAAAAGAAGAAGAAAAGAATTAAGCTCCAGTTTTAGCACATAAGATGCACTCATTACGAGGTCATCAGTTGTACATTATAGTTGACTGATGACAGTTCTTTGTGACTCATCTGAGCCACTTTAGGAGGCAGGTACTGGGTGTGGTGGGCCACTGAGCTGGTCCAAATCAGAACCATCTGCATTAGTAGGCTTGAGAGTTTTGGATCCTGTTGGAATATTTCTGAGAAAGGCATGACTTGCTCCTGAGATTGGGGCTAGAAAAGGATATTGCTTGCATACACTTCTCAGTAACCCCTGTTGGTAGATTATTTGGAGATCTGCTCATGAGTCGGAGGGACAGAAGGGACAGCACTAGTATTTACAGCTGACATCTGCTTACCAGAGCTCTCTGACTGATGTTTCCATTTGCATAAGTCAAGCTTCCCACAAACTTATGGGAGGAAATGGCTGCGTGCAGAACTATTTAGATGCTGACTATTTGCCTCTCTTACTTCACTGCTCAATGGTGGCGTCTTACAGTTCGTGAGGTATCTGTTGCCCTCATTTTCTTACTGAGCAGCTTCTACAGGACTATGCTGTTGAATGTTTGCTCTACAAAGTTGGATCAGGGCTTGCAGTTTAGTTATGCCAGCATAAATTCTGTTCTTGTTTTAACATAGACTATCCCTTTCTTGCAAACAGCCTTGCTCTCCAAAGCCTGTGTTGGCACAGAAGATCTAAGAGGATATTTTGTCTATTAAGAGCTAGAATATTTGTCTTGTATTTGTTTAAGTGACACTGCTAATTGGATTGTAATTCACACTCTTCTCTCTTTATCCTGCTTGCTTCTTGCCTTTTGAATTCATGTCTCAGTGCATGATGGGAAAGGTATTAGGTTTACCGCTAATGAGGATGTTCTTCCTGATAAGGGTATGTTCAAGACTAATGTTGTTACCATAACAACATTAGCCAAGTGCCTTGCTTTTGAAGTCATCTTGCCCATGCTCAGAAACCTTTTCCAGAGACCCATTCCCTGTAGCTTGCTGTAGAAGTGAACTTTAACTGAATGCTTGCATCCCACAAACGGAGCCACGGGTTGTGCGGTGTAGAATTCTATAACCTACCTGAGAGCCTGTCCCCACGTTTGAGATTTATTCGCGGGATGTGAAAGCTGTCTCAAAAATGGACTGTTTTTTGAGAGATGCTATGGACTTGTGCCCCTACCTTTTACTATGGGTTATGTATTGCTGTTCCAAGTCCTAGACTTGCATGCATATGGTCTGCTGAGACAGGCTACTGTAATACATGTTAATGTCTGATATGCACTCAAGGTTATGGCTGAGCTTGAAAGGGGGGTGGCTAAAAGTCTGGGTGCCCTCAAAAGGGCCCTAAAAAATTAAGTTGTCTTCTGTTTTGTCTCTCAATTTATTTTCTGCTGTCCAAAGTCTTTTTGTTAACTTTGAAATACAGTTGTAACACATTGCACGAGTTCATTTCTGCAGTTTCACCCTCCAGTATCTCAATACCAATGAGATTTTTCATGTCAAGATTGAAATGTGCTTGTCGTTAAATGCGCAATTAAGCGTATATACACAGTTGTATGTGATCAGAATATTTTTCACTGTCTGTATACAAAGCAGTTTTTTGTCTCTGAACATTTCAGTTAATAGAACAAGATTCTTGTATGAAAAGACAAGAATGAAGGTAGGAAAAAAGAAATCCAATTTTTTTTCTCCCTCAGTGGTAATGGGATGATTCTATTGTCATTCCTCTGAAGAATCAGTTATCCTTTATAACGTACTAACTACACTAAAGATAGTAAAATGAAGACCCCAGTGTTTGTTAGTTGATGTTTCTACAGAGGTGGCCTGATATATAGTGTTGATCATCTTGTGTTCCCATGGAAAATGCCAACAGTGTAAGTGACAGACCTGCACCATCAGATGGGTCAGGCCAGTAATTAAGCCTAGCAATTTTAAAGCCCTGTGCATATATACAGAAAAGAAGGAATGCTGCCCTTCTAAGCGGGGAGAAAACAGTACATTCAAGATCATGTACAAATGTTACAGCCTAGAGGCTGTTTATTGGGCTCAGGTCAAGAATGAGAGTCTACCGTAAGACAATAATTTGAGGTTCTGTTATATTTGTGCATATACTTTTACTTGTGTATTGATGTGACTTTCACTGCCTACAGTTCTGTGTCATGTAATTCTCTTCAGAGAATTGCACAGATTAGCTCTCAACCTCTTGGTTTTTAAATGAGTGTTTTTGCTGCCTGCAGACTGTTCTTGTGAAAGTTGACATGTTAGATCTATCTAATCAAAATGCTTGTTTAATGATATCCTTCAAGCTCCTTATATTGGATTTCAAACACACAAATTCTTTCCTTTAGTAATGTGTCTCAGCCTCAAAATTGACAAAATAACACTGCTGTTTGTAGGCACCCAGTTGCCCTGTAGGTATCCCAATTACGACAGCATTGCTAATTGTCAACCTGAGATCAGACAGGTATCAAAGAGAAAGTAAAATCAACCTCACTATCTTATCAAAGACTTAATTTTCATTTTGCAAAGCAGTCTTTTTCTGTAATTTACATGACATCTTGACTGCCCTACCCAGAGTAATGTCATTTCCACATATTGCATGATCATTATGCTTAAAAGTTAAAAAGTCAAAAACATCATAATACAAGAATTGTAAGGCTCATGAGATCTTCTCCCTCTCTTACAACATCTTTTCCTCTGTGAAGCTACATCTTGTTTTCTCCCTGGCTAATTGATGAAGAGAAATAAGTATGCAAATTGTGAGTGCTTCTCTCATCATTTTTGGTGCACAACAGTGGAGGGGTTCTCAATATCCTCTAAAGGGAAGCAGATAGGCAGTCGGGATGACAACTTTTATCTGATGTACAACATGGAAAAAGCTTCTTGGAGGGTGAGACTGCACTATGGTTCAGTGCAAATCACTAACATCTTTGTCTTTTTTTTCCCCTAAACTTCCCCTCTGGTGCGTTTCTTTGTTTTGCTGGGTTTTTTGTCCTCCCTTCTTCCCTGAGCGGACAGGAATGCTGATGCCCACCACTGGAATGCCTGCATGTGCACACAATAGCTTGGCAGGAATCTCTGAAAAATCCTTGCTCTCTGTGAGGGTCCATTGTCGAGCTTTAGATCCCTTAAATTCTTTTTAAATTCTTACTAGTATTCTCACCAGGATGTGATCTTTATGGTTAGTGTTTATACATATTGGGCATGCAAGCCTGGTGTTATTTGGCATTAATGTTACATTATCAATGTTGACTGAAAAGCTGGCCATGGAAAGTGTACCGTGAAAACACTGTTGTCTCACTGAGGCCATAAACCAAAGACGAGTGCCAGTGAACAATAATCCATGTCTGCACGGGGTTGGGGGGGTGTCAATTTTCTTCCAACAGCCTCTGGTGTGGATGATCCAGTGGGTGAAGTTTCCATACAGATTGACCTGTATACCCACCCAGGAACTGGTGAACACAAGGTCACAGTGAAAGGTATGGCAAAGCATGTGTTACTGCTCAGGCTCTGCAACTGGGTCGAGGCAAATCTCCAGTTGACTGTCACTATATTTCTGTGTTAGCTCATGTGATGGGAATCCAGAATTATTTTCTCTGTTTCACATCAGGAACGTGTAGAGAAACACCAAATGAGCTTGTCCAGTCCGGCCAGTGACATGGCAGTGTACAGCCCCATTGTTTATTGGCAATGATACACGAAGTAAACAAAAATCAGATGATGGCTCTAACCAGGCGCCATAGTTTATCCTCTGCTGCAGAGGACAGGGCAGCGTGACAGGGCAATGTTGCGAAATTGCTCAGTGTAAACCGAGAGATCACAGAGCCAGTAAGAGTTCAGAGGCTCCTCTCCCCCATCCTGAAGGCCACGCTGGTCCCTTAAGAGCCGCTCTGAAAATAACCAAAGCAGTGATTCATCTCAGGCTTCCTCTTCCTCCTTCGTCTCCTTTGCTCGAATACAGCATATTTAACTACTTTAATTTCCTCTAAAGATTTATATAAACAGTTCTTCAGGCCGCTGTTCTCCTGGCTAAATCTACACCGCAATGCAAAAACTGATTTTTAGAGCTATTTCCTGTGCTTCAGTCTGCTCCCTGCGGTGACCTGAGAAAGAATGAGAATTAAAGAGCTAATAATTCTGGATTCTGGAACCACCCACAGTTCATGGGCTTTGTTTGTCTTACCTGCAGTCTCATTTTCCTTTTCAACAGAGACCTTAATATTGGCCTCCAAAATGCCTCTGTTTTTTTTTTTTCTCATCCCACACATTAATGCAGAGTTAGGCACTGAACTGTCAGGGCAGCCTGCACGGGGCTGTGTGAAAGCCTGGGTTTTTGGACTAGTTTTTATTGACTATGCATATGGCAAAAGCTAAGTGCTGTCCCAAACATTAAATTCCCTTTTCAGAACTTAAACTAGAGCAAAAAAGCATATCTTGGTATGACAAAAAAAGTCCTGATCATTTGTGTCGGGACACTTGTGTGTTTTGAGTTGGACTCTGAAGCAAGAAACTGAAAGCAGAGCAGATCAGAAGGCTGTCTGGAGCAATGGGAACAAATGAGTATTTACTGTAAACAGGTTGTGACACTTTTTTCCAGTTGTGGCAGCCAATGACCTGAAGTGGCAAACGTCCGGCATGTTCCGTCCCTTCGTTGAAATCACCATGATTGGGCCCCATCAGAGCGACAAGAAGAGGAAGTTCACAACCAAGTCAAAGAGCAACAACTGGGCTCCCAAATACAATGAAACCTTTCACTTGTAAGTGTGAAAAATAGCCTGGGGATCTGACGTGGCTAGTACAGATCGCAGAGGACAGATAGGATTTTCCAGTTGTCCATGAACAGACTGCTCAAGGCCCAAAAGAATACTTGAACCAGTATCTTGGCCAAGTGTTTGGAGTCTTGGCAGGAAAAGCAAGAGATAGGAGGTTTTGTTGTGGGTGGGATGCTGAGGGCTGTTCTATACCAACAGTGTCCTCTGGCTACCTTTTGAAACATATTGTTTGTCCTATCAAAGTATTTTACTGTGCTCCATCATTTTAATGAACTTTGTGTCTTTTATTAGCAGAGTTGAGGCTAAAAGTTCATTTATGTATTTTTAGTTCTTCTAACCTTAATGTGTGTTCTTATCCCATCTTGACCTGTGGGACATGCTTTCTGAACTTCTTTCCAAGGATACAGCCCTTGAAACTGGTAGTAAGTTGCACTGCTAAAATTGCAGTCTTTCTCAGCAGCGAGTGTTGATCTCTTCTTATTTGGCTTTCACAATTACAAAGGCATCTTCCTTCTTAGAAGGCTCAACAAAGGGAGCTACAAGACTAGTGCTCACCCAGCTGTACAGTAAGAATGAGAGGAGAAGAGATGACCAGCAAAAGACTGTAAACATCTTGGGGGAGAGGGATGGTCCATATAATTTTTCTTTGATGTGAGGAAAGGTAGGCTTCCTCTAACTGAAGATATTTTGTCCCCTTTTTTTAAAATTCTTTTAATTTTAGAAACATCAGAAGCATCAGGGATGTATTTTTATTAACTTTTCCTTTAATGGAAGGTTCTGCATCTTTAACAAAGACTTCATCTAATTAAAATATTAATTACTGAAATGAAGCAACCCTGAACAGAAGCAGAAATGTTTAAAGTCATCTGAGTTGAAAAATCTATTAGCATGGCTTTAATGTTCTCCGCTCCTCTCATTTCGCAGTTTAACACACACATATGCAAAGGCAACTTGATAAGTGTTGTTCATTTTTTCTTTTTAAGTAGCCAGGTTGTCTTTATGAACTGTAAATCAGCAAAAACGTTCATACACTGTAGGTTTTACTTCTCCCTCTCTGACCAGGGTTTTCTGTAGAAAGGAGCTTTCTGTGGCTCATTGAAGCACTCTAGTCAGCTGCTGACACCTTTATTTGAAGAGGAATTTATACATTCTGAGAAACTATTGGTAAACTTGTGTGTCTGCTTTTCAGCATACTGGGGAATGAAGACGGCCCTGATGCCTACGAGCTCCAAGTCTGTGTGAAGGACTACTGCTTTGCTCGGGAGGACCGAGTACTGGGGATAGCAGTGATGCAGCTCAGAGACATAGCCGACAAAGGAAGCTGTGCTTGCTGGTGCCCTCTTGGGCGAAGGATTCACATGGATGAGACTGGACTTACAGTTCTGAGGATTCTCTCTCAAAGAACCAATGATGAAGTTGCCAGAGAATTTGTGAAGTTGAAATCTGAGTCTCGCTCCACGGAGGAGGGCACCTGAGCTGAGCTGTGTAATGTTCCCTTTTCTCTTCTGCCTTGTGCCAATATGTGCAAGTGTTCAACAATTCTCTTTTATTAATTACAAAAGGTTTTTTTCATGTTGTCTTTGTCAGCTCCAATAGCGCACGTGTGCTGTACAGGAAACAAATCCATCAATCTGACGTGAATTATTTATTTTTTAGTAGCTGGGTAAGACACCATAGAGAATGAGACAATCTCTTCTTATTTAAGATGCAAATTCTGCTTTGTGTATATAAATTATTTTATATTGGGGGCTGGGTATGCTGGCTTTTGTTGATATGCAGCACTGTGATTTTATCCTCTGAAGTTGGCAGACGTTAAAAAGGTCCTACATAATCACACTATGGTACAAACACACAACTGTGTGGAAATTGGGAGAAGAAGAATTATTTAGGGTTTTGGCAAAGCACAGTTATCTCTCATTGAATTTGTGTACTGTGGAGCTGCCAGGGGATGTTCTGGCACAGATTATACCAATGTCCCAACGTGATACACAGACACCTTAACATCTGCTTAAAAACCAAGTTGCAAATTGCTCTGAAGATGCACACCAAATGAATGTATGACCATGGATGTGCTGCTGTGAGCATGGGCAATACCAGTGGGACAAGTGCAGAGGGGCCTAAGATCCCATAGCCAAAAGCTGCAAAGGCAACACATCCGGAGCAGACTGCAGCTGGCCTGCCATTGTAATTAAGTGGTGTGTCTCGGAGAATATAAATCCCTGCGTGCTGCTGGGATCACCATGGGGATACTTTAAGCTACTGAACTCCGCAAGTCACACTTTGGCTACCGTGACCAACATGGTAAAGAAGGGAACAACGTTAGAGCCATGACAAATAACATGGCTGCTCTCTACTTTTTCCACTTCAATATTCTTTTGTTAGTTTTTCGACATAGGTTTGGATAATGTAATATTAGCAGGCTTTCTGTAGCATTTTGTTACCCTGGAGTAGCTAAGACCATTCCTCACTATGAACCCAGAAATGGTGGCTCGCTGAGGAGGGAGCAACACGTCTCCCCTCTGCAAGCACTCGATCTGGAGTGCTGGTCAAGGGCCAGCAGGTCCATTCAGTTCTGATCTTGAAGTCACTGTTGGCCATGCTGCGGTTGCTCTATGCCGATTGTCATTAATCTGTGACTTAACAATACCATTGAAAATATTTTTGCACTGTCTTAAAGAAGCATCCTGGTTTTGTTTTCTTGCAAAACAAAACACTGTCCTGAGCAAAATGATTGCAGGGAGGTCAGAATTTCTGACTGAAAATTCATAAGCAGGAAGGTCTGGAGTAGTGATTGCACCTGAAGTATGTTTGTTGGAAGGTTTTTAGTGTTTTGGGGATTTTTTTGCTATTTCCAGCTGCCCTTGTGCTCTGGAAAGTGCAACTGTAACAAGCCAGTCCTTGCCCATAAAGTACTGTAATACTGTCAATAAATTCAAGGACTGCATATTGAATTACTTTTTTTTTTTTTCTATTTTCTCTGACACTTGTACACCTGTATAATATGACTCCTGTATTTCATGGGCCCGCTCGTAGAGTTCTGAGACGGCACATCTGCTTTGTTCTTGTCCATGGTGTATTATAATAATGCTCTCCAAAATTCCACGCTATTTGTCATGATTTTGGATCATTGTGCGTGCCATTGTTATGAGAACTGTTAGTATGGTCTTTAATAAACTCTTTTAGCAGCATTTGGAGTTGTCTCTTGAAGTGTAACTGTAATTGGGTTTGCTAAATCACGTAGGGTGGAATCACTACTTCATCTTTGCAAATGACTCTCGTTTAGTACCTAGATATTTCTGTGGTGTTGTAGATGCCTAGCAAGAGGTAAGAGTCAGACCATTCCCGCCTGCTCCATGGTGCCTCTTTGACATCTTTCCCTGAAGTTCTTGGCTTCTGATAACACACTGAGACATCACAGAAAAGTGTAGAGAATAACTTACTTCCTTTTCTTCTCTTATCTGGCCTGTAAGTCAAGTTTCCTTTGTACTCAAGTAGCCTCCTGAAGGTGCTGAATGGAAAGACTCAGGCAGGCAGTAGGATACTTTACAGATAACATGTGAAGAAAAGTAATTATATACCAAACTTGATTCATAGCTTTCAGTCTGATATAAGCATAAGTACTCTGTAAATGGTATTGACAAGAGATGAGAGAATAAACCTTCTTGAAATCGGGTAAACTACTCCCCCTCCTTATTTGCTGCCAATTTCCAGCAGACAAGCTCAAATAACTCAGAGACTCGTATTTCATTATAAGGTGGGTCTCTGAATTTTTGCAATCTGAGGTGCAATATTTCCTTAGGAAACGTGCTCAGCAATGCGAGTAGCTTGGCTAACTCATGGTCCAGCTTGTAGCTGTGCTTCTGTTCCTGGCTTCATCAAGGGGAAGTTACTGAGTTTGATGGCACATCCCATGTGCTGTGTTGTTTAAAGCACGACTTTAAAGCCCCACTTCAGAACCAGGTTAGATGGTACACAGGTTTCTAACTCATCAGTATGCTTACTTGTCATTGCTTCAGCGAGTGCTGCAGTGGAGAGAAACTAATAAAGAGCTATTCAAAGGAGAAGCACAGTCTGTAACCATGAGGAAGAGGCCTGGGCAGGGCAAGAGGTTTGGCTGTTATTAACAGAGCCAGGAACCTGAGGCTCCTGAGCATATTCCTTATTCACCAGTCTAGTGCTTCTCCTGCAAACCAGGTTTGTGAACTTTTTAATCGTAGAATCGGTTTCCAGGAGTGTTGCTTTGTACCATGTTTGTTGAAAACAGTCTGCCCATTTTACCTCGTTTCTTGGGTTTACACTCATTGTGACACTTCCAGATTTTCTTTCCTGCCTGAAAAATCATGCAGACTTGAGCTACAAACACACAGACTTTTTCTTGTACCTATGGCAACAATACTGTGTTGTGCACATGGCACTCTTCCACTCTATCTGAACACTCCTCAAAATGACAGCTGGATGGAGGACATACACTGTCTGTATCAAATATATATACATATACATTAATAAATAGATTAAATTAATAAGTAGAACACTTTATATATATGTACACACACACACACACACACACACATATATATATATATTTATATATATCCTGGTGTACTTAGGGTGTAAGCAGTTATCCTGAGTTGGAAAAGGCTGTCCCAAGAACATCGTGGCAAAGGTGACAAGCAGCAGGAGTGGTAAGTTGTTTGCTGTCCCATCCAGGAGGAGTCTGCAAAGTGGAGCAACACTAATTTCAGGTGGGACAGGAAGGAGGTGAGATCTGAGCTGGATGGTGGAGGCAGGTAGGTTAATTCTGCTGATCGTCTGACTGTTCTTGCCTGGGAGCTTTCTGCTGGGTCTGTGGGAAGGGTAGAATGGTTTCAGACCAAGAGTCCATCTCACACAAATCCTGCCCCCAAAAGTGGTTACAAGCCTCTGTCCAGAGAAGAGTAAGAACAAGGTGAACTAACAATGCTCTTTCTGATGGTGCTGGTAATTTTTGACTCAGGTGATGTCCCTGACTCCACAATTTCTCTTTAGTAAGTCGTATTCTATCCTTCTCTTATTCCACCTTGAGCCCCTCAAAAGGAGTTCTGTGGATTTACAAGGTGTTGTATGAAGACCTACCGTTTTTTATTTTGAACCTGATTCCAACCAATCCAGTTTGGTGCTCTCCATTCTTCTGTTCAGAAAGATGCTAAAGTGCTGGTCCTGCTTGCCCTTACCTGGGCAATGGGGATATTGTAGACCTCTTATCATATCCCACCCTAGTCACTGCTTCTTGTCACTGCAGTGTTCCTGTTTATGCAGTTACCCAAAACCTTAGATAATTTTTGCCATTCTTTGAACCTTTTCCATATATATGGATTATTTCTGAGCTATGAGGACCAGAACAGCATACAGCATTAAATATGTGGACCAGCTTCCAGGAGGTAATCTTCTGAAGGTAGAAGTTTCCTCCTAATGATAAGAGCAATAGTCAGTAGTTCAAAAAAGTTTCCAGGCTGTCAGCAGAAGATACTGGTGGGCTGCTGGGAGGAGGAGGAGGGAGCAGACAGGCTGCCAGACCTCCCAGGTGACAGAGAGACCTTTTGTAGGAATCTAAAGGGAAGTTCAAGAGGTTGTTGCAGCTTGGGAACTCAGTGTTACTCAGAGCAAACCTGAGAGAGAATGAAGCCACCCTGCTGAGATGCATTGCATGGTAGAGAGCTGTTAACATTCCTTTTACTTCTAGCCTTTCTTTGAAAAGATGAGATAATATTCTAAGAATAGGGGTAAATAAAGCAAGCTTGACTTTTAAACTTAACAGACTTCTTTGATCTTTGGGAAATTCCTTTCTAAAGCTGTGGCAAACTTGGGGCTGTGACATCCTCAGAAAAATGAGTTGAGGGAGTGAGATAGCCGGGCTCGAAGGGATGACGTGTGCTTGCAAGCACGTGATGAAGATAGAAGGGCTTTACAGGAAAGGATGTTGTGTTTCTGGGTGTGTGATGGGAGAGAGCAGAGACCCAAGAGCAGAGGTGGGGAGGGCAGTTTATCCATCTTCCTGGAGGAGATTAGCAAATTGATGGATGGAAAATGAGAGGGTTTGGGGAGCGAATAGGACAGACTGAGAAGGCAGCTGGCATGTCAGGCATGGGGTTCAGTTCCCCTATTTCTGGGCAGCAGCAGGGAAGGAGGAGGCAGTGGAGGAGGTCAGGCTGCTCATGGGATTTCCTCCAGACACGTCATCTTCCTCCTTTTCTGCTCTCATTTCCTCCCTTCTAGAGAAAACTCTGGACATAGGTGTGTGAACATGTGCAGTGTGATTAGTGAGGCTAGCAATGTCCCCTGCTGCTTGGTGGAACATGCACTGTGGGTCTGAGCCCTCCTTTGGAGAAGTGGGTTAATCCCCCAAACTCCTCTTTTAAGCCAGGAGTGTGGGCAGTGGAGGATTTTTTTAGGACCTCAGTTTTCTGATACTTAAAACTATCTTCTCAGTTGCTATCTGTGATTTATGGCCAATCTAGAAATATTTGCTCTTACACCACTTCCTTGTTTGTTGTGATGAAGTCTCTTCAGTAGCTCTGAATGCTTGGATAATATTGCCATCTCCACTAAACTCTGTTCTTCTAAACCAGACAAGAGCTAGGTTTCTGCTCATAGGAAGTGCTCTCCATTTCCAGTCATCTCTGCACAGTTTCTTTCCATCTGCTCTATCGTGGAGCCCTTCTAGCATCACTTTTCCATAGCTTTAAGAAGAAGGTCTCATTATCAGTACTTGCCTTTGTGGGCTTCTCATATTTCTCAGCCCATTTCTGTTATGTCACCACATAGTCCTTTCACTAATCCCAGCCTCCTCCAGCTTCACCAAGTGACATTGTATGTCCCATCTGACATTGTATGTGATGCTTTTTTTTGAGCCCACCTAGATTTGAGCTGCCGGATTTG